GAGGGGGGCTTCCCCCCGCCAGCCGCCCCCACCTGTGTAGAGGTCTGTGTCCGTGTACTCATCCACCTTCTTGTGCTGCAGGACGTAGTCGGACACCTTCGTCCCAATGGCAGGCTGCACGTCCAGCCACTCCAGAGAGACCACGGTGCTGGAGGGCTCCACGTTTGGCGAGAGCCGCAGGCTGGGCAGGAGATGGGAAAGAAACCAAATAAGGCATCAGCTCCCTTGGGGGGAGGAATCCACCTCTACAAGCAGCACAACCCCTGGGCGGGCTCACGCTCCTACACAGCGATGGGTGGACAGACCCACAAGGACAGTAGGCACGCAGGGAGAGTGGGTAGGTGAGCACAGAAGAACTTCCAGTTGAAGTTCAGTTGGGTGCAGCCTACTCAATGTGTGTCCTTACCTTCCCCTCCTCCTGTAAGAGCCTAGGTCATGCAAATGCAACCACGCGACCCCAGATATCCCATCTACAGGAGCCTTCACCTCCCGGGAGAATGACTGAACTTCAGCAGCCCTGGGGGGAACTGAGGACCAGCTGCCCAGGAGCAGAAGAGAAGGGGAGGATCCAGCTTGACCTTTATGGCACCCAGCAGGGCTGGGTCTGCGGGAGGGGAGGGGCTGGGCTGCATCGCCAGGGAGCAAAGGAGGGAGGGAGAGTAGGGGCAGGTGTGGCTCTGCATTGACCCAGCTGCAAATGAGCAAGCCCCTGATGGGCCCCTGATGGATCCCATCCCTGATGGGCTGCCCTGCCCAAAGCAGGGCAGCTGTGCGGGAGCTCCTGCCCGGCTCAGGCCCACACGGGTAGGAGCGAAGGCAGAGCAGCTTTGTGTTCCTGGCCGTGCTGGCACAAAGGCGTCCGCTCTCTTTGCACGGGGGTAAATGACACCACCAAGTACAGGGCTATGGAAAGTCCGGCTCCAAACATAGGAGCGTGTTTGCTTAACTCAGGATGGGAAATGAATCCCCTCCGAGGATACCGGCTCGCTGGAGCCAGTCTTCCTGCTTTCTCAGCTAATTCCCCATCAGTTTGCTCTTGCTCTGACAAGCCACAATGTAATTCCATTTCTTTCAGCATTTGAAATCCCATTCTACAAGCCCTGCTAATCAGGTGATGAAAATCTATAAGGAAACCTTCCAGGGCCACAGCCGGAGCCAGGATATCCTAAAGGCATCAGTCACACAGCGAGGAGAGCTGGACTGCGGCCCCGGGGCTCGAGGGCGAGGGGAAGGAGGTGCCCATGGGCTCAGCCTGCGGGAAAGGGGCTGGTGCCAGGGCCGTGACCCGCGGAGGGGCTTGCACCCATACGTACACAGGTGGAGGGAGAGGGCTGCAGTTCGGGAGTCCGTTCTCGTCGAAGGCGTTGAGGTCACACCTGCACCAGTCTTCGATAACATCGCCTTTCCCCGAGCACCAGTATGAGCTCATCAGGGCTCCCTTGAAAGCCTGACGTGAGAATAAAAAGCGTGAACACGTGCGCTAAAGACTCGGTGAAATCCGGCCAGCGGCTCGGCCGAGCATCAGGGGTGCGTGTGCGCAGAGTCCGGGATCGGGAAATACTGGGGTGGTGGGGGTCCCCCCAGCTCTGCCATGGACTCTCTGCGAGGCCCTGGGCAAGTCCCTTCACCCCCCTGTGCTGTAGCTCCTGCAGATCGAGTGATGCTGGCTCATCCCTGGGAGCTGCTTCTGCTGCGGGGACGGGGAGTGTGTGCACGATGCCTCGTACAGAGGGATCTCCTGCGACGGAGGACTGAGCTGCCTGAAGAAACACGAACATAAGCCCGTTTCTGTCACCAGACATCATATGTAGGGTACCTTTACTCTGCTGCTGTGCGCAGCGAAACTCTTCCCCGTGCCCATCCCATAGCTCTTTCTGTCCCCACGAAGAATAATTTCTGCATGCCCAGCAACACAGACCACTTCCATCCCTCTCATAGGTTTGTTATTTATATGAGCTGCCCTCCTGCAAGCAAACTGCTGCTTTATTCACTTGCATAAGCAATACTCACAAGCAAAACAGCAGTACCTGGAAGAAAAACTACAAAATCCTGTATAACACTTGCAGGGTGTTCCCAGTCGTGCAGTCTCCCCTCCACAGGCTGTCCCCAGCCGGACCAGCAGCCCTCCGGACCGCTCCTAACGACACCAGTGGATCCCCAGAGTAACAGCTTCCCATCTGCTGGGGTCTGAGGCTGAAACACTCAGACTAAATTCCCAAAGCCCTCCAGGTCTAACCCAGCGATGTCTTCCCTGCGCTCATCCTGCAGCTCGGGGCCATCAGCGTCGGTCCCCACGTTGCAGGACAGGGCATCCCTCGCTCCGTACCCTGCTGTCGTTCAGGCTTCGTGGTGACTGCTCCTGCTACCTTTGCCTGTCGTGTCTAATTAAACCTCCAGCTTAGACAACAGCATCTCTCCCCGTACGCACACATGGCCAACGTTCAACCCGACCCTGCGTAGCCACAACACCCTGCTGGAATAATCATAACCCCAAAACTTCATCCGCTAAAACAAACCCCTTTGTAATGCTTTTGACCTTTTAAAAGGCACATTTCGGGGCTGAAACGCCTTCGCAGGTCCTCCTCCACGCCGAGCAGCTTCGCTGCCGGCCTCCGCACAGCCCCGCTCGCAGCCGCCCT